GACAGGGAACCGCACGCGGGGGCACTCTCTCAATTTACGGAAACTTCAGTCAGTTGGTGTTCCGTTAGTCTACCGACTCTCGTGTAGGTCAACAACACTCTGAAATTTCCTTCCAGCGATTGTGGTAGAAGAGAAGACAGGCGTTGCTTTCAAACGGCGTCTGGATGAGCACCTGAATGGGCTATGGAGGAACAAACACTTGTGATCGGACCTTCGACCCAGTGGTGATGAGGCTTACACGGGCACTCTACCCTCAATCCTGAGAACTGAAGACCTGAATGGCCAAGCCATCTGACCAAATACGGTTTTTGAGAATAAGACTATCATTAATTGACCATCTTCGTCCTTCTTCCTTTGAGGAAGGCTAGTTTGGACATGTATATCTTGTGCTGCATTGCGCTGACACTTGAGTACATGTGAGACCTAGCACTCTCAGCATGACCTCGACATTGCTAGCTTCCCCAAATATCTGAATAATGCGTGAACGGGGATATATATATATATATATTTCAATTAGCTTATCTGAGTCACATCTAGCAAATCAAGGGACTGTTTCTTCAAAAGTTGTTCTTTATCGGGACAAATTCAAGTTAAAAACATCCATGGTTCAATGTGAACCGGGCGTGTTAGCTCAGGCACTGAGACCACGTGAACCGCGATCTCGTTGGAAATCCCGACGATTCCTCTCCGCAGTTCTTGGCAGAATTCAATCGATACATGTTTTGTTGCATCAAAAGGTTATGGTACAATGCAATTACTAAATTATTTGTTGTCGTATGTTTCCATTATCCGTTAAACCAACATGGTAGGAGTAATTTGTTCAGTGGTGAATTAAGCATTATCATCAAGGCAATTTCACTTCTATCACGTGATTAGTCCCAGTTAGTAAGTCTAGTGANTAGTGAGGTACAGATAAATTACGAAAAATAGGTGCGACCTGGGGTAAAGATTGCAAAAGTTCGATGGATTTTACAGCATTGCTGCAGGTCACTTGCTGTTAAGCACCATAGCAACCAAAGTTAACGCCCCCAAATGACTAATACTTGACGATGTAATGTATAGACATTTACACAATCCAAACTTATATGTGAAAAAGACGGAACAATAAATATTAACTCCAGGGATGTCGAAAAATGGGCGAAAAATTGAAAGCAAATAACCGTGATTCAAGCTTTGGGAATTGTGCCCCATATTGGACGAGAAATCACTTTATTAAATAGGGTGTGATTAAGTTGTTCTCAGAATATGATGATGGTTGAAAATCGATGAGTAACACATCAAATAGTGATTTACCTGCGTGTCTTTCCGTAAGCAATTGATGCCTTTTTTTGTATGTGTATGTGCGAAAGCCATTGTGAGATTAGTTCTGTACTGAGGTTGAAGTGATTTAAAAAGAAGAGGGGGAAATTTCTCCGCCCAGCCGATGGGAATTTGGTTTCAAAATGATTTGTGTATTTTAATATCTCTGGTCACCCATAATATTACCTTAGGTTATCCGGATGAAATAGACTAAGGACAGAATCGGGAAGTGGCTGATAAATTCTGGACACTGTCGAAGTAACAACGGACAAACTCAATAGAGTTGCACATATGCCGACGAGGTGACAATCAGTGGCATGTTTTCATCTCTTCACTGGTCCAATACGGCAGAAAACGATGGTTCACAAAGTTAGACAGCTTATGAGTTATATCATATTACGAGACAGGTAGGTCGGTTCTGTCGTAGTTTACGACAGTAAACACAAGACTGCCGTCTTGTGCCAGCAAAACTGAAACAAAATCGGATAAAAAAGTGCGAATTACGGGGTTCAGTCTCTCTCTCTCACTTTAGTTATATCTATGGGATGAATCTTTCAGTGGTAAATGCGTACATTTCTAGTGAACTTCTTGCCCAACCAGTTCTTCTTGAGGGTGGAGTAACAACGGATTCTTGAATGGAACAACTTTTGTTGGACAGCTTGTGGTGACTTCAACTATTCAGCTATTAAAATCAGAGCAACGTGGGAAGGATTATGAAAACAACGTAACGTACCTAGTGAAATATTCTGGTTCAGCTTATTACACGCTGGTGGAAGGGGTGATAGAGAGGACCTTAGATTGCACAGAAAGCATATCATGGTTCCATAAATTTAAGCAATTAAGGGTTATCATCGTTACATTCATAACAAGGGCGTTAGTGCGTCTGGTCCGAGGGGTTCGATAACTCGTACCGGTATCCGTCGAGTAAACCATTATTGCCGTTGTAAATCAATCCGAACTAGTCTATAGTCTGTGTTAGCGTGCCAAGCCTTACCACTCAGCACCGATGAGATGGAACTGTATGGCTGGAGGTGAACATCGCTCATTTGAAATACGAGCGTAAAGATCATTTCAAATTGTTCCGGACGAATACGGAAACTTTGGACGGATTCCTTTTAATTTTGCTCAACACAAACTGCATCCTCCTGAGGGACTTTGTACAAACTACGCTGTTGATATGCTTTGCCTTCTGTTCCAAATATGGAGCCCTTTATTCACTAACAAATTACGGGTGGTCACCTGAATGAACATGTCAATCACCGCAACATGCCCCCCCCAAACGACAGAATCTTGATACTGTGACAGGAGTGTAGTGTTTAGTTCACCAAATGTACCAAAACGATTTCCAATTTCGGTGATATGCTTAATTTCCAATCATTTTTCAACTAAAGACGCCTGTGTTTGTCTAATTAAATGCATTTTGTGCACCCTGTCATAACTAAATTAGACGAAAAAGATCCACCAAACGTATACTATTTGGCGTAGCCCATATAATCACTTTACTTTACTTTACTTTCAGATCCATATGTATGGTTTAATTTCTTAATCGTAGATCAGAGCGATCAATACAAATAAACGATATTCGAACCTTATATTTATATGATTTTAAATGATCAGTAAAAATTCTTTCACTGTTTTCCTCATGAAAATTGTTCATGACATTTATTTAGCCTGATAAACGACAGATATACGTGCTGAATCAGATGCTTAAAGTAATCACGTTCTCAAAGTCCAGACGACAGAAACATTTCAAGCACAAGGTTTGCATTCAACAGGCATAGGGAAACTGTGACGGACGTACCTCAGACATGGTTTAACTTGAAAGATGAAAAAATAAATCCAAATAAACGTGCCCAAAATTAATCGGCAGAAGTGTTGGATGACCGCGAGAGCACTGGAATCAATGCTCCTCAGGGATAATCAATAGCATTCAAATCAGTTCACCTGTGACCCAGTCAGCTGATCAGGCGGTAGATGAAACAAAAGCATGCAAACATCACTGATTAAATCACGTTATTCGTGAGTAGAAAGACTTCAACTGGATTAAATAATTGCTTATCAGTTTAGGACTTTGACTTCATTTGAGACTCGTTGATTCTAGCCTTGCCAAATCTGAAACTCTTGCGCATTGCCTCATTTAAAATGTTTATGAGAAGCAGGCGTGTCAAGCTGTACGGTGACAGGTATTCATTTGAGCAAGAAAATATCATGCTGTGTTGATGGAGAGTCTTTTGGCTCCATTGATTGAGTTTACGCTTTGGGTTTTCGACCTAATACGTACCACTTGGTGAAAGTCATTTAGACTTGTCACATCTTTTGTTTGCCGATAATTTCGGGGAAAAGAATATGAATTCTGCAAAGTGCTAACTCATCAGAATAGAATATATTTGACCATTCAAGTATCAGAAAAAACTTGTTTAGTGACTGTGTGGTTAATCATCTTAGTTCACAGATCCAATCACCGGGCATTCCTGGGATGTGCATTAGGTTACTCCCTTTGGGCTGGCGAGTTCGTCGGTCTATGAAGTGAAGAGCATGAGAGCAAGAGGGAGAGGAAGAGATCAGGAACAGTTTACCGATATAGGATGCAAATGAACCGTATGTGTGCAGATATAGCTGGTTATGATATTCACCACCGCGAAGCCTGAAATTACATGCTTTGCGGCATCATNNTGCAAACCTTTGTGACGAGCTATGGTGTAGTGGCTTCAGACCTACAATGTAGCATGTTCGAGAGGTGTCACCATCCTCGGTCTGCCTGTTCCGTATGTATGTTTTCACTTGGTTGCAAGCATTGGTTACTTGGAGCATTCGGTCGCGCATCCATTTCCTCTGTAGCATGGATTCCGCCATGATTGTCGATGTCCTGAAGCCTCTTCAGCTAGGTCTTTCATGTTTGTTTAAGTCATTCCCACCTCCGGTGAAGTACTTTCACTTTAAATGGTACGTGAGGTCAATGTTACATCTTCGCTTGCTAGGCATTTCAGTTTCAGATACTCTCGAGTGTAATCCGGCTGCACTTTCCGTGTTTTTAAGGGAACAATATATTTTCCCTTGACTAACTGGTTGTTGTTCCTGATACCTACCGTTTTATCGAGAAACACGTGAGATAAGAGACCGGATTGCTTCCACGGGTCGTGAGATAGCATCCCCATCCGTCAGAGTGAGTGACAGGAGCTGATGTAAACGTGTGCCCTTCCTATTCGTTCCTATAACCCACCAAGGTTTGAAGAACTCGTACAAAATTGGTGAGCAATAAATGCATCTCAGTTGCAAAATATCTTGACGAGAAAAAAAAACGGACACAAAAATTTAGAGTAAAATGTGAAAACGCAGGTAACAACCAGGTGGAAACAAGTCAACTTTTCTGTCGCGTATGATCAACACACGGTTAGAACAAGTAAGGAGTGAACCGCGACAGGTAAACAAAAGGGTGAAAATACTTTGGTTATATTCTATAAATAATTGTTTCTGTCAAGTATGAGAACAGGTCTCGATGAGCAATTGGAAGGAGAAAGTGGGGACGAGGTTGCGGGACTCAGTTGGGCAGATAAGCTCCTCGAAACCGGTGTTTTATTCACACATGCATACACAAACATTTACATTATGTGCTATGGAAGTTGGATGCGCTGTTATTCTACACGGGACTAGGGATTTTAAAAGGAAAGATCATGCTGAAACCAGAAAACTGCGAGGTACAGTTACTCTGATCGTAAGTCTGACGAACTTTCGTCTTGAATGAACCGATCGTGATCCGATTCCACCAGGCGGAATGCCTCGAGAAATTCGTTGAAATCAATTTGACCATCCTTGTTCAAATCGATCGACNGAGCCATATCAGCTATGCTCTTCTCGTCTAGATTGTTTCGGTTCGGGAGTCGAAGACACGCAGTGGTAAACTCTTCAATGGACAAGTGACCTGCAAATAAAATTGATTTCGAGAAATAAATTGTTCCTCTTTGAAAAGAAATTTGAATTTAAAAAAAAAATTCAACACAACTTGTGATGCAGGGAGCGCATAATGGGCAA